ACAAGCCTAAAGGGTATTCGTATCAAGATTTTCGCTTCAAAACAATTTTTGTCTAACGATGTTCCCTGCGGCTAAAAATTTACGAATATCTTTTGGTAACCAACAACGCTTTAGTAATGTTAAAATTTCAGTAAATGAGGGTAGCTTCAGGTTTATGCACCGGCGGTAATTCAGCACACAGAACTACCTCTCATACGCAATAAAACTCCGTGGTTTCAGTTTCAATTCCTTCAGCTCACGTGTAACGCTAATCCATTTCGATGTCGTCAGTAAGTGTTCGATGTTAATGAAGGCAGTAACTACAACAACTGTTTACGCAGTGCCCACATTGGAAGACGAATGGCCAGTAGCCTAGATGTATTCCAACCAGCCATCATTAGACTGCGAGTCGGAAACTCTCTCGACCAAACTACTAACACCAGTCTTCGAAGAACAGAAATGAATACGAATCCGCTGAACCGTTCCTTGACAGGCACAGCCTGTGAGCTTGGGCTGCACTTTTGATCTCCGTATCGACGTTAATCGCTTGAAGCATTTAATTTTTCAAAGTAATGTTTAGTGTGGATTGATTCCGACGTAGTGACACAGAATGCGACTGAGATCACGAGACCAAAGATTCGGTTGGAATCAAATCCGATGATCGGAATGCTGGAATTAGACCGACTGAGCTGTCCTCGATCAGTAATAAATTCAACCTCGTAAAGGCATGTAAGGTAAAGATGGAACTGTTAATATTGTCTTACAACCGAAACAGTAAAAAATTTCACAAAAACCGTTTGCTGTGTTTTAAACGTAGAGGTATGAGTAACAACAGAAGCGTACCTGGGATGTCGGTAAATTCAGATTCCGTTTTCTGTCCATCGTTGTTCGTCACGTGACTCGTAGAAATAGACGAAGACCCCGCGGTGCCAGTATTTGGGCGAGATGTCGCTAAAACACATATGAGCACAGTTATTACCTTGATTATTGTCATATCTTTTTCAGCATGCACGGTCAGTTGATAATTTAGCACACACCTGCAGATATGAACGAAATGGGAGAACGGAGGAACTGATGAGACATTCAAAAGGGTACGATACACAGGAAACGCTCTAAACGCGGCTTTTAGGACCCTTTTGGAAAAAACAGCCAAAACACTTATTAATGTGATTTTGAAAGTTTGATACAAAATTTAAATGCACTTAAAACATTATCTGTACATCTCAGATATGGTGCGACCAGATACAACAAACCTATATTTCAATATATTACACGGTTACTTAAAATAAACATTTCCTAGACGGTCTGACGTAAGAAAAACAATGCAAGTTCAACGACAATGAGAGTGGAAACTAAGTTGCACGTTAGCCAGCATAATGGTGTGCCTTCGGAGGAAGAAATATCGTGAGAATGTCCAGACCTGTGTTCAAGATTAGCGAAACAAGACTGACGAAATTATGTTAACGTCGGAAAACTTATTTCGATCAAGCAAATCTCGATGACGAACAATAAGCAGGCGAAAGTGGTACTGAACGTGTTTTAATAAGGAAACGATTTCGAATTAAATACTACCTTTGTCTTTAATGAATAGCAACGTATCTGAATAATTTATATTTCAAGTACGCACTTACGAATGTGAAATGTTACATCTATTGGAAGAATCGAATAGCCATACTGTTCGGCGCAGTATCCAAAGTAACATAGTGTGAGTCACAGAAAACAGCGAAAGGAACGAGTGGTAAATTTATAATGGGAACTCCATGACATGACCAACAGGGATAACAGAAACAACAATGGATTTGACATGGCTCAGAAATATGTAATCATACACCGGGCAATGGATTTCTCGATTTGATTCGAAGAAGCAACAGACAACCAAGAAAGCACTCAACAGATGACAGAAATCGCTGTTTTTAGACCCTATATCGACTCAAGACATGTTTCTGAAAAGACTACATTTGGTACCAAGAAACAGAGTGGTGATGAGGACTTATTTACTTCGTGTAAACGTTAAGCAGCTCAACACTAAAATTGTCGCTTAAAGTAGTTCTACGGAATTTGAAAACTCGTTTAGACGCACGCTCCTTAAAACATTTAAACTCCGTTCTTCGAGTGTAGATCATAGTGTTTTTCCATCATGCGGACCCAGTCCTTCGTTGAATTACAGGCGAAAGAGCATTAATACATCAAGCTGATCTCTGGTAGTTGCTCGCTCGGCATCTGATTGCCTGTATAGCCGCTAGCTACTTCTTACATCAACTTTTATTACGTAAAATTCGCGGAATGGGAAATCAGTTGACGTTCGCTTCCAGTTATAATACAGTTTATTTTAAACTTGTCTGATGCACTATTATACAAGCAAATTCTGCATAATTCAGCGCAAAAGAAACAATCTGTCAGATACAGTACATTAGGCTATTTAATTAGAGAGCAAAATCGTGTGTAAGGGCTTTTAAGCAGGCAAAAATTTACATATCGGCGCCAGCGTTCTCGGGTTCTTCGACGTATTTACCAGAGTATTAATCAATTATATTGACAATACGCTGAGGTGAATCAACGTATTCTTCTTCGGTGGCGGTTGGGTTGGTCAGTAATGTAATGTTCCGTCTTCCTTTCGTTGAAGCCTTGTTCATTTTGCAAATCAATGATGAACTTCTGCATGGACGGATGGCGCGAGTCAAGAGCCTGCAAAATTTCTCGAAGCCAACCTCCTACTGCCTTATTCCTCATTGGCAGGCCACCATGGATGGTGTGAAAGCAATTCCAAATTGCTATATCCAAACTTGGTTGCCTTAGCAATTGACGACGACGTCGACCTGCCAGGCCAATCAACCTGTCCTCGAAGTAATGCATAAACGGGTACGCGTCGACGGGTAAATCACTGATTTCGGAAACGACCTGCACATGTTGCACTAGTTTGAAGAGGAGTACAGCTGGCATTCTTTGAGCATCTTCTCTGATTGGTTCAGTGGTTTCACTGCCCGAAATAAAGGATGCAGGACAGTGGGAAAGCTTCGTTGAAAAGCGAAATCCGTCAGTACCAACTGAGATGTAAATAATGCTTGTCCAAATAATTCGCAAGTAACTCGTTCCGACTTTGTTTGCTAGCAAGGAAAATACAGAAGAGATGAGGCTGGGGTATATATTTTGTGGATCGTGTACAGCCGCTAAAACGACTGATAATCGCCGGTGATTTTATAGCAGAAGAATCCGTCATTTCCTGATCTCGATCGCAATGTCGAACAGTCGCTTCGGCATTCCCGTGGATCACGTCTTCACCAACGCAGTAGATACCACGCCGTCAAAATCTTTGCGCCATCGGAGGTATCATAGTCACCATGCCATTCGGTTAATTCCGCATTTGGATAAGTTTAACAATCAAAGCTTATCACGCCTACAGTTGCTGAAACTGTTCTTCCAGCGCTGCATTTACATCGATCAGCGGTATTAATACCTGTAGAATAAAGATAAAAAATCGTTCACTCGGAACACCTCGAGATACATATCAGATACCATCTATAACTATCTCAGACTCGTCTACACGATCAGCTGTTCAGTCAAAAAGATATTCGTTAAGCATTGTTCCTCTATTTCAAGTGTAATCACCCTGTAAAAGTACAAAGTAAAAGACTGCAAAGCCAAGAATTTTTTCAGATGAAACGAACGTACGAAAAACATAAATACATGTTATGCCGATAATCTCCTGCATACTTCAAGCCTCAAAATACTGTAGAAAAATATCCACTCCCTCACCGGCTATAAACATTGCATTAAATCTGCACCGTAGACCCTTACGAATAAAAACACTTTCTAAAAGCAAAACTGCCAAATAGCAGTACATCATCAAATAGTAAAGCAGCGTACAGTAAAAAGGATCGCCGTTCCTAGCTAATGACAACTTTCAATTAACTTTCATGCACTATGCTTAACGGACGTGGAAGTACGTAGCTGTTTTCGGGATTACGCATCAGCGTGGCGACAGTTTACGAAGGTGTGTATGCCTTCATCCTCAAGGCACGTGTAAACGACTAATGTCACATGTTTGCTAGCATCTTTTATCACAACCCTAAGCAGGAATCACTTCCGTGCCAAGGAAATCGATGTTGGTACTCGCAAAAAATTTCTTTTCAACTACCGCAGTACTCTGCCCTTTCAAACGCATGCATACTTTATTACAGCAACGACGTAAGAAGGAAACAGCCGACTCGTGCCAGCTTGTGTACAAACAGAAGAGGGATTATATACGCTTTAAAGCTGGTTTGATGGTGAGCAATGGACTGTGTCTAGTGCTCTGAGTTCAAAAGCCAGTCGCCATCGGTGCGCATTTAGCAGAATCACCATACGCAACCGAATTTAGCATCGCCTCATAAGTTGAAATCGATCCAATCATTTTTAACAGGTCAGCCTGGGCAGCCAAGCAAAGCCAATGCAAACGACGCCGGACACAATTGCTTCTAGAGAATTTTTGAGACGCAACAAGACAAAACGTAGAGGTCAAGGCGCTTGGCAAACAGCCGCCAGTGTAACAGCGGTTTCCGCGATGCAGCTTCCATCGGTTACTGTAACGAACTGTCGATCGATCCCTCCAAAATCACCTTAAAAGCTGTCAAAAACTAAGCCTGTTCGGGGCAATACGAGTGCCATTTTAATTCAGGCAACCATCGCTGCAAGCAGACAATGCGCATGAAATCGTGGCTCTGGAAATCGTCACTCTGGTTTCGAATGGAAAGCCCTATCCTCCGCAAAACACGCGATGATTTAATTGTGTCTTGGATCAAAAAGTTATAGCGCAGCCGTAATCAAATAATTTATTTCCCTTTCGTGGATGTAGACTAAGATGTCTTCCTTCTTTTTTTAGTGTCATCTCTGACAATATTTATATCTCACTCTGCATGATATTCAAAGACTTGACTTGAGTCGACTCGACTCGACAATGACTTGATTCTGCATGAGATTCAATTAAACAGCTCTCGAAAACTCGATTCAGTGGCGAGCGAGAAGCTCGTTATCATGATCGAAAATGCTAACCGCCACGAGCTATTACCGTTATTCAGCGATTATCTTATTGAACTCATCTAGCATCGCAACGCCTCTGACTGATAAGGTTGACTGCGAGTTGGTAAACTGATTCAGCTTGGTGTCTCTTACACCATCTTATCATTGCTCGTTCGACTAATTCCGCACAACTGCTCAAAGCTGGTTGACGGAAGCTTGTTTGGCAATACACAACAGCCGAGATCTCCATGTTACACACCACAGACTTCGATGTTATACATGATGATGATATAAACCGTCACGTCGACAACGTATTGTATTGTCCTACACATGTCGTATTTGACCTGAACTTCCCATAACAGGCGATATGCACTACAAACACTGGGTTCTCTTCATATCTGTACATGCAATTCCTACGTCAGAAAGAAACATCTTATTGTCATAAGTCTCAGCTAAATTCAAGATTATGCGAAACAAAATCTCAGAAGAAATGTGTAGTCTTCAAAAAGAATATCAAAATTCGCTTTCTCCTGATTGCCAAACCTTGTAGGGCATGGATAGCGATGAAAAAAACTTTGTAATTTTCACAAAGTTCGACTTTAACCACAAATACAAATGATATACAGTGGTACCTCGAGTCACGAACGCCTCTAGTCACGAACAACTCGACCCACGAACACAATTTCCG